GAAACCGGCGATGTGCTTTTGGGAAGCAAGAAGCCCCTTTTGCCAGTGAGGAATCAAAGAAACCATGAAACAACCAGCGCCCCCAAAAGCTGTCCCCGTTTCCCGCCCCCCCTCCGCCTTCCTATCCCTAGAGAGAGCGAGAGAGAAAGGACCAAACAAGCAATTATCAAAGCCGGAGCTAGAGCGAGCCCAGATAAAAACAGTTCTTAAGATCTCGGTTTATGACCTTCTGGGAAACCAAGGATTTCCAGTGGGGTGTGTGGGTAAATCGCACACAAGAGATTCTTAACGGATCAGGCCTCTAAGGTCCACACAATCGAGCATCTCGTCTCCCACAAAAGCAGAGGGAAGGGGAAGCAATTCCAGAGAATTCTGAGCAATTTCGGCTGCCTTTGCTCTGACCAGAAACATTTTCATTTAAAAATTAAATAAATAAATACGGCTGAAACAATGTACTCCACCCCACCCCCAATTCTTTCGCTCCTCCAGTTCCCTCCCCTTTCTGACGCTTGTAGTGGGCGAAGAGCACAACCCAGCTACAGTCAAATCACGACTAAACGCTTCCACACGCAACTAAATAATGCGCTTTCGATCCATTTCCGATGCACTTTGCAAGCGGATTTTACTGCGTGAAACGGCAAAATCCGCTTGCAAAAGGCTGCTGAAGCGGATTGAAACTGCGTTATGTAGCGTCTGTGAAAGTGAGTTGTCCATGCGAAAGAGAGGGGCAAACTACTTATCCCTCGCATTGTCCTCGATGGTTCTTCAAAACGCCCATTCGGTTTTCGATAGGTTTGGCGCTTCAGGCATCCACGTGTCCGGATGCTTTATTGTAACACGTCTAATTAGAACTATAAAATATAAGCTAATATTTTTTTTTAAAAAAAGTTGTCACGGGACCAGCCCCCCACCCCCCCAATACACGCAGAAATAAACAGGGAGAGGATCCGATTGGAGGAAATTCCACAGAACGTCAGGATCTCTCTCTAATGTCAAGACCCTCGGGCTGCACTCTCCACCCCCCAGGCAGAATTCACAGTTGTGCCCAGTGTTCCCTCTAAGCTGAGTTCGTGTGAGCGAGCTCACGGTTTTTTAGCCTCCAGCTCACACATTTTTGTCTTAGCTCAGGAAGGGATGGCTCCAGAGCAAACTCATTTATGCAGTAGCCAAATCGCTCGCTCACAACTTTAATGCCAGTAGCTCACAAAGTGGAATTTTTGCTCACAAGACTCCACAGCTTAGAGGGAGCATTGGTTGTGTCCCCAAGATCCTGAGCCTCCCTACTACGAAAAATGTTCCATTCCGTTCAACGGGAGGGGTCCTCTTGTTAAAATGTTCGGGATCTCACGGGTTCAGATTATTTTTACCGATGGACTCGTGACACACCGTGAGTTGCCAGCGTTCGAGGAACAAGGCCGATTATTTGCCATCCAGCCGGGCCCTGTTTCATTCTGTAGATTTGCTCATCTAAGCTGAAATGTGGCTCTGACTGTGGAAGTCCCCAGTCGATTTCAACGCTCTCGCCAGCTCTCCTGATTTATGGACTGAGGCTCTAACAAACTGAAACGTAAAGCTCCGAACAACCAGTTGTCAGGAGATAAGGCAAGCCCGTGAGAAGGAAAGCACAGAAACCCACCCAGATGGGCTCATTCTCAATATTCAACTTTGTCCCCGGCGTCCCCTCGGCGTTCGCTTCCTTATCAGAAGGTTAATGCCTAAGAGGGCTTGCAGTCCTTTGCAGGTTTTTCATGGGAGTACGATCCCATGAAACTCAGGTGTGTGTGTGGGGGGGGGGGGCTCGCTTCTGAGTCAGAAGAAGCAAAAGCGAAACGTTTAAAACACAAAAAAAACAAACGGCAAAAGAAACCACGGCCGTATTTGCAATCGCGCGAAATGAAATCATTTCGGGCAACAAATAAAATCCAGAAACGCAGCTAAGCGAAAAGGCAACCGGGACCTTCCCTGCTTCAGAAGACTACTCTAATAAGGTTTTAATTAAATAAGCCTGGGTTTGTTTACTGTTTGCGGCCTTTTAACAATCGGGGCGCCAATTACGGCTAAGTGTTGCCTGAGATAAGAGCGCCCGAGAGGAGACTGCCGGCTCTCCAAAATGCGCACCGGAGGCACGCGGGGAGAAAAGCCTCTCTCCTGACAGCAGGGCCGATCCGGCGCAGATAAAAGGCTGGAGTGCATTTTCTTGGTTATTTACAGAGCCGGGGAGGTGTTCCCAACCCGCCCCCCTCAAAACCTCCTGGAGAATTGCCCCGAAGGTGCGCTTCCTCCGTTGACAGACGTCACACCTTTGCGCTACTGGCTTCACCCCCAAAGGGATTTCTTCTGTTTTAAAAGAGACTCAGAGGGAAAATGGGAAAGGGTATAAATGGCATTCTCAGAGGGGGGGGGGGAAATCTTCCCAACTAAGAATCACTCCCTTGAAAAACCCTAAAACCATTTTAGAGAGGAAAAGAAAGAAGCCTTAAAAAAAAAAATCCCTAAACTTTCATTTTAAAATGAGGGATCCAGGTGACTTTAGAACGCACATGGAGTGCGCACGCTTTCGTTTAAATCTGCCCAGTCATCGGAGATACTGAAGTCGCAAAGATCCAGTGCCAGGCTTAGTAGTTAAGGATGAGTTTAAATGGGTTGCCGGAGACTTCCACGTAAAATATATGCATTCATTTGCAGGGGGAATCGGTGGGCTCCCTTTTTTCAATTACTTTAGTGACACACCTCCTATGATCAGCTTCATACATGGATCCTCTACTGAAATACTTTTCTGCTCCAATGTATGTGTTGCTGGCCAAAAGTGTTGGCTCGGTAACTCCAGTCCTCCTGGCAACACTACCTCCTCCTCCTCCTCCTCCTCCTCCTCCTACTACTACTACTACTACTACTACTACTACTCTTGTGTTGTTGTTATTTGGGCTGAACAGTTAAGAGTTAGCCGTTACAAAAATAAATCCACACATCTCAATCAATAGGTCAGTTGAATCGAAGCCCTTGGTTTCCAGCCATTTCTAGCCACACCGAAGTTCAGGGACCACACGCCGGCGGGGGATCGCCTTAAATCGACTGCATTAATTTATAAGTATTTTTAAGGACTGGTACATAAATTTCAGTTCCATAGCTATGGCTTAAGCGGTTTGTAAATCAGGGTGACGGTGGGCCACCTTGTCCAGAATAATTTTTAGAAGATTTGCATCTTGGAACTAGAAGTCCTAACATCCATGTTGTTAAATTGTCAAGTTTATTATTATTATTTTTTTTAAAAAAGAAGAGGGATTCAAGTATCCAGATCTCAGTCCAATTGAATGGTAATTTATTAATAAACAAACAAGTCAGTAACTTAAGAATATCTTCGACAAAAAAAGATAAACGATAAAATAAGATTAATACACTTTCCCTTTTTCGTATATAATGGAGGAGAAAAAAAAACACAACCCAGCGTTTTAGGTCATATTTAAACTCAGTTGTGGAGGAGAGAAGAGAGAACACTTTCTGCTGTTTGGTCCAAAAGATTCAACTACAGATTTAAAAAATAAATTACTATATATCAATTTACACTTTAAAACAAGTCCTTGCCTATCAAGAAGTCTGTGCAGGGAAGAGAGAAAAAAAGGAAACACTTTTCCAAAACGGAGTCGGACCTCTCCTTTCTTTTTAAAGCGTCCAATCTACATCACCTTAGACACCAATGGCAAAGCTGGCATCGATTGGCACGAGCCCGGACTGCGCCTTTTATTAGGGTAGCAATCCACGCACGCACACGCAACCCTTCCCCCCTCACTGGAGTCAATGGCAAAAAACCCCTCCACTGATTGGAACGGAGCCCGACTATTACCTTCTAAGACCCAGGCAAAGAATCCTTCTCCGCTGGTCGGCCGGCGCTCCCCGAGGGCTCGGTCGTGCGGCTGTGCGCCAGGGCGCCCGCGGGCACCCGAGCGCAGGGCGGGCACCCAATAAAGGTCTGCGCAAAAGGGCGCCGGCGGGATAACGAGCCATCTTTCCCGGAGGGCTGGAGCCGGAGGGGAGCGAGGTCGTCAAGAGCAAAGTCCTTTCAGGAACCATAATGAGAAGGAGAATTAAAAAATGCGCTGTCTGTGTCCGGGACGGTTTCCCCGGGGGGGAGTCCGAGCGTCCGGACTTGGGGCTGCGGG